TCTTCCCCCCGCCGTGATCCGTTCAATTCCCAACATCGTCATGATGAAATAATTCGAGCCGTGTCAACTAAGGATCGCGAGGGCAAACGAGGATCAAACGAACACCTGGTAAGGCTTCGCGTTGCGCACAGACAGTCCCCCCCAGCTAGCCCTGGCTGGCCTCAAGAGGTACCCCGAATAGTCCAGGGCGGTCTCAACGCCTCAACACTGCGGCGCGGGCGGCGCCGGAGGCGGCGCCGGCACTACCCCCATGGGGGTCTGTCTGTGCGCAACGCGAAGCCTTACAACGAAAACCAGGGCGGAGTGGCGGATGCGCCGCTGCCTATCCAAAATCGTGTGGTGAAGGACCGCGTGGTGACCTCGGAATCCCAAGATACCTCACCGCGCGATCCGTCACCGCACGGTTTTGGGATCTTGGAGATTACAGTGGCCCGAGACGTACTTGACGAGCGACCCGAGCCCCAAAGCCGCGCGGCGACCCCGAACCCCCACTGGCTCACCACGCGGTGTGGTCACCATAGTCTCTCAGAAATCCAAAGCGGAGTGGTGGGTGCGAAGCACAGCGCGAACCTTCCATCACCGATCATGGCATGTCTCAGGACCTCCCAACCTCCACACCTCTCGGATACCTCAAACACTCCGAAACATCGGACCCCCTACACGATCTTCGACAGACTCCGGAAGTGCTCGGGAACGATCGAGGGCAACAACGGGGCTTCCCACTCATCCGACTCGGGAGCGGCCAAGAGGGGGATGTCCAAGAGAGGGGGGTGCAAATCATGACTGGCGGCATGTGCGCGGCCCAGCGGGGGGGCCAGGGACGTAATGAAACAAGAAGAGGCGCCATGAAATCTGGGGAGATATCACGGCCCACGCCATGATATCCACCCCCCCCTAGTCGTCACCCCCCTCTTTTCCGCCCCCGACCGACGGCGCCTCCACAAGCATGCTGCGGGTGCGCCCGGCAGGCCCCCCGATAGGTCGCGGAGAGGTCCTTGTGCCAGCACTGCACGGCGACCTCGCCCCCCCCCCCCCCCTGGCCACCTTTGCCTCGCCGCGCGGCCGCGCGGCCGCGGCAGGCTCGGCGTCGGGGGCGGGAAGAGCGCGGCGGGGGCTGGGCGACGAGGGCGTGCGGGCCGCACACGGGCTCGGGGCCTCGGCCACGCTTGAGGCAATCCACCACGCCAGACTCGGCGGCGAGCTCGGGGAGGCAGCGCGGAGGGGCGGGCCTTCTCAGAAGGCTCGGGAGTCCCCCGGCCTCGTGGCAGGTGTTCTGAGCCCTTCCCCGGAGACGCATCAAGCTTCTCAGAAGGCGCGAGGGCTTCTGAGAAGTCCCGCCGCCTTCCGAGAAGGTCTTCTCCTTCTCATTTTCCGCCTCGCTCGCCGCCGACAGACGAAAGAAGGCACGCTGATATTCCTACTTTGTCGTAGCTTAGTTTGTTGTTTGCGGCAACTGTTTACGACGCCACCGCTGAGTGAAACCATGCTGAAAGCAGGTTTCCGCTGGCGAGCGATTCTTCTTCCAGCCTCTTGACAAGTCTCGATGTCGCACCGAGGGCATTCCATGGTTCATGGTTCACCACAGGCGCCGTCGCCAGACCAAAGATCACAAAACCTCAGTGTTTCGCGCCCAGGGCACCTTGAGGCTGCACCGTCGCCAAACATTGGTTTTTGCGGCAGGCAGAGAAGAGCTTCACAGCATAGCTTTTTTCGGGGGAAAACAAACCTACCTCGCTTTTGACCACCCTCGCTTCCAAGAGATACCAAACGATGCCAAATTGCGGCCTGTACTGGTCAGGCCGCTTGACGAGGAGGCGCGTGGTATGGCTTGGTTTTGCCTGGAAGCGAAAGCGGGGTAGGTAATTCACGCCCTGATTTTTGGTCGGTGTCGGGTCGACGCTCCGTCCCACCGCGGGGCTTCTCCGGGCCACACGGACCACTGCCGGCGTGCGCTGCAAACAGGCGGCGGGAGCGCCGCCCCAGCGCACGCGCGGCGAAGACACGAGGGAACGCGCGGTGGACGCCTACAGTGCAGGCCAGTCCACGGGAAACCTTCCACAAGAAGCCCAACCCTGAGACCCCAGGACGTCCACTGATTTTTGGTCCGGGAGCATCACGCTTTCCATGGCAGCACAATCGAAACCCAAGAAACCCAGGGCACCCTGGAGGCACGCAGGGCATTTCTTGGCATGGGTCCCCACAGTACTCGTGCTCCTGAGGGCCACGTCCAAATGGTCCATCGCGACCTTCAAGGGCACACCTTCAGTGGTCTCGGAGCGCAGCTGGTGTCACCGCGTCGGTCTGACGTCGGGAATGCGAAGGCCTCCTCGAAGCCGCCCCCACCTGGAAACCGCAGCTCGTGCTGGCCTCGTGCACGATGTGTGTGTGTGTGTGTGGGTGAAGAACTGTGCGGGTGTTCCCCAGGCCTCGAGTCTGGGTGTGGACGGGAGAGGATGAGGTAAGGAGAAGAGCCCGGCCCCTGCTGGCCTGGGAAGGCTCCCACGCCCACGACACTGTCGTCTGCACCGCCTGGCGCCGTGGGAGGCGGGCTGGCGTTGTACAGAAACCATGCCACCTTCAATTTGTCTCCCCTTCAATGGCGCCAGCGATACAGCACTACACATTGCTCGTGATGGCGATCTTTGCTGCCGCTATCGCGGGAACGCACCTGCCCCACAACTTTCTCGATCGAGACGCATACTCCGAGAAGCATGGCACACATCGGCGACGAAAGATGCCATGATCGAAGATCGAGGGGCTGACATCAGATATAGGACTGGCGTCTTGCCGTGCCGCAGCGGTGCATTTGCAGCAGCATTTGGGAACACATGACCCAACCCCCCGACGTCATGATTTTTTCATGACGTCGACCCCCAGAGGTCTCGACCCCTTCCCGGGGACCCGTTTCTCATCCTGAGTCGTTTCTTGACGGTCCCGAGGCCCGGTAAGGGCCTCCAAAGGCCGAAAATAGAGAAAAACCTTCAGTCGTGATGTTTTTTCATGACTCGAGGGGGTCTGGGGATGGGGCCTCAGGATAGAACGTCGAGGGGCCGACATCAGAAACAAGACTGGCGTCTTGCCGTGCCGCAGCGGTCCATCTGCAGCAGCAGCTGGGAACACACGAGGGGGCCTCCTCCCCTGCCCTCTCCTCCGCGGGGCTGCAGACCAAACCCGAGACGATGCGAGCTTTCACACCACGAAGGACCCTCTTGGGAACCCACGGAGGACGTACGCGCCCAACTGTGTACAGGAACACGGCCCCTCGATCCGCGAGGCCCGCCGCGAGCTACGAACACTCGCGCAGTGCGTACTCTCGAAGCCAGCGTGGATTCTCATGCACGCGCACGTCCCTCTTTCGCTCCTTTGTCCCTCGGAGGCCTCGGCCACTTCTCGGGGGCGCCCCGGAGGAGGGCGCGCCCAAGAGGCGTCCAAGAGGGGGGGGGGGGGCGCAGGCCATGGCCGGCGGCATGTGCGCGGCCCGGGGCGGGGGGCCAAAGGGTCGCACTGAGGTATAAGAGGAGGCGCCATGAGATCCGGGCAAGCATCTCATGGCCCCCGCTATGATATCCACAGCCCCCCAGTCATCACCCCCCTCTTTGCCGCCCCCACGGACTGTCCGCGACGCGAGGCTGCGCCGGTGCACTCCGCGGACCGCGGGGCATCCGGAATAGGGCGCCCGCTGAGAGGGCGGCCCTCTCGCAGCGGCACCGGCTCCGTGGGGCATGCTCCCCGCGCTCTGCAGGGGGGAGCGGGCCAGCCTCGTGCGCCAGACCCAAACTCGGCGGAGACCGCCCAGGGAGGAAGGCAGAGGCTCCTCCTCCTCCTCCTCCTCCTCCTCCTCCTCCTCCTCCTCCTCCGCCTCCGCCGCCTCCTCCTCCTCCTCCTCCTCCTCCTCCTCGGGCGGGCCTTCTCAGGCCATGTGTTGACGGAAATGCCCCTGGCCCGAGATGCTCCTAATTATCTCCCGGGCCGTTCTGGAGCTTAGGGGATCCTCGGTGGCGTGCCCAGGGAGGAAGGCAGAAGGGCCGGGCCTTCTCAGAAGGCTCGGAAGGCTTCCGGCCTTCCGAGAAGCTGTGTAAGCCTTCTCCACAGCCGCAGGGGGCTTCTCAGAAGACTGGAAGGCCTCGAAGAAGCCCCTCCGCCTTCTGAAAAGGCGGGTCATGTCTCCGTCTGGGCCCCAGACCGGGTCCCGGTCCCGGTCCCGGTCCCGGTCCCGGACCTGGTCCTGGTCCCGGTCGTCGCCGCCGTCGTCGTCGTTGTCGTCGTCGGCGCCCTCCTGCTCCTCCTCCTCCTCCTCCTCCTCCTCCTCCTGCTGCCCCCTTTCGGGCGCCTGGGGATTTTTGGATCACAGCTCAGCTCTCGGGCGGCCGTGCGGTACGATCTGGGCAGCCCCGGAGCGCCCTCGGCGATGCGCAGCTGTTGGAGCGCATCCCGGAGCTGGCAAACCGCCGAGAGCCGACGAAGAGGCTCGAAAATCTCGTCCTGTAAATCTGAGGAGGAGGATGAGGGGTTGCAGGAGGAGGGGGAAGAGCAGGAGGAGGAGGAGGAGGAGGAGGAGGAGGAGGAGGAGGAGGAGGAGGAGGAGGAGGAGGAGGGGGAGGAGGGGGAGGAGGAGGAGGAGGAGGAGGAGGAGGATGAGGAGGAGGAGGAGGAGGAGGAGGAGGAGGAGGAGGAGGCGACGAGGACTCCACAGGATAAAGACATAGAGCCGCGAGCGAGAGGAGGTCGAGGTGCCTGAGGAGGGGTGCCGGCGCCGGCGCTCGCGGCGCCGCCGAGCTAGGTTTTGCTCCCCACCCGGATCGCATCGCCGTTCTGTCACCGTCGATGGCCGCGCAGATGGCAAGGCCGCCGCGCCGTTTCGGCGACGGCCAGAAAACTGGATAGGAAGACTGGCGTTGTCGCCTACATCGCCACGGCGAGGGCACAATCGGATGCGCGGGCATCCTGGCTACGAGCAGACAGGCTTGACGGCACCGTGGCATGGGCCAGGAATCGGAGGATCAGAGGGGGAGGAATATGGAACGTGGACGGAGTGTCCTCGTCGTCGTCGTCGTCGTCGTCGTCGTCGTCCCTCTCGTCCACGTCCTCGTCCTCGTCCTCGTCCTCCTCCGCCTTCTCTGAAAGGGGAACATCAGGGCGGGACTGGCTCATGGCAGGAACTAAGAAACTGGAATCGGCGATACATCATCCCCGATAGGTCGGCGATAGGCCCTCGATAGCGAAACCGCATAATCCTGGGCGGCATGGGCTGCAGGGCCTTTATCGGTGATCAATGGGCGAGTGCGGATCAATGCGTCCCTCTCCCCACCCCTGACGTTGCCCCTGACCTCTTCCCTTTCTCCTTGCTTCCTCCTCTCTGAGATCGGACGAAGCGGACAGATTGCAAGATCGTGGACATCGCGCCTTGAGCAAACCCCATCTTCCTGCGCCACTTCTCGAGCCGGCTCAGCGATGCGTGAGGGCGCCGGGGCCCGAAACCAGGCGAAGGCGCCCGGCGCGAAGAACCGAGACGCGAGCCCCAACGTGCGACGTCCTGCCTTCTTCAATGCGCGGTGCCCGGATGTCCCGGCCCGTTCCCCCAGGGCCGGTTTTCCATCCCGAGCCGCTTTTTGCTGGTCCCGGGGCCCGGCGACGGCCCCCCCCACCCGTAGGCTGGAAGCTGGGCGACCTCCCGCCCCGATGTTTTCGGGAGCCTGCGTGCCTGGGCAGAGGGGGAGGGAGGAAGGCTCCTTGGAAGCACCCCTGCTTCTCAGAAGGCGCGGGCCTTGTCTGTAGATTCGGGGGCGCGCAAACATGGATTCGCGATCCATGGACTTGGCGAGCGGTCGCCACATCCATGGATCGGGGGAGGTGCCCTCCCCCAAATGCGGTTGGTGCCGCCTCGCTCGGCGGCGGAAATCCGCGATTCCCCATAGAAGCGGGACCCGTCGCTAATCCACGCCCCCTCCTCCTTCTTCTCCTCCTCCTCCTCCTCCTCCTGCTTGTCCTCCTCCTCCTCCTCCTCCTCCTCCTCGTCCCTCTCCCACTCCCACTCCCCCTCCCCCTCCTCCTCCTCGGCTCGGCTCGGCTCGGCGATATCAAGGCCTGTACATAAGTGGCCTATTCTTGGATTGGGAAAAAGGGGCAAGGAAAAAGGAAAAAGGAGGGCTCACTTCGGAGCCGATCCGTACATGCAATGCTGTCGTGACATCAGGGGTCCCATCCAACAAAGCAACACGGACCAAGGCGAGCACAGCATTCAGTCCCAGGACAAGAACGGATCAAGAGGCCGCCAGAAGTTATCCACCCCAACTCCCTCGGCATCCTTCTCACCGCACATCTCATGAGCACATATCTGCCATGAACTCGCAAACGCAGCGGTCACTCTAGAATAAAAGGATGGGGGGAGGCAATAGCTCATACATTCCCTCCTCCCCTCACAGCTGCAGTGCATGTGATCGCCCCTGCACCTCCCTCTTCCATCCAGGGCATCAATCTCCAGAAGCCCTCAAGGTGGACAGGGAGGAGAGAGAAGGGGTCAATATAAGTATCATCGCCAAACGCACAGGCATGAAGCTCTAACACCCTGACGTTGCAATGCATGGCGACTTCATGCACCATGGGAACCTTGGCAAAGGTGAGCTGATGGCCCATCATCGTCGGGCTCACGGTGATCCATGGGACTCTGTGCAGGAAGGCACCAACGCTGAGCGCAAGGGCCCCCCTCAGGGCCGCATTTTCCCCGCCGACAACATCTCTAACTTTTGAATTCAACCTCGGGGACCCCCAAACGTCCCCCACTGACCTTGCGCACTTTTCGCTGGCAGACCCTACGCCCCAGCAGACAGGCAGAAAAAAAGCTCCCCCCGCGAGCTTACCCTGCTGAAGCTTGTCACACCAACTCCGCTCGTCCTGCAGAGCCCACTCTTCCCAGGAGAAGTGAAGCACGATTATCTCTTGCCTTTTTTTGGCACACTCCTCTTCCAGCTAAGCCTGGAAGTCGTCACTCTGCCGCTGGCCTTTGCCAACGATGAGAAAAAAGGGGGCGAGCATGTCGAGCGCCGCCCTCGGCATAACGTGGCACTTTGCCTCAGCCTCCTGCAGCGCCAAAGGAGGGTGCACACGGATGGCTTTTTCATGGAGAAATCTTTCCCCTCTTGCAGGACCGCAAATTCTGACAGCAGCCTTCTCAGCCACGTGCTCTTGCTTTCCCATCCCCCTGTTCTTTTTTTGCAACTGGGCGCTAGCGGTCCTCCACTCTTGAACTTCCTCCTTATTCACTCGATGGCAGATCATGGCATGCCAACTCATCGCACAGCTTCGATTCTGCTTGAGATGCTTGCAGAGTCTCCCATGAGAGTGAAATTCAAACATGCACATCTGACAGTGCGTCCCGACAGCCCAAGTGTTGCAGTCTGACCCGTGTTTGTGCTGCTTGCCTCGGTGTATAGCAAGACCCTTAGCCGACGGGGCCACGTATCCACACTCATAACACAAAAAAACCGACAACTTCGGAGCTGCTTTGTTCCTCTCTAGCGCTGTGCTCAGGGAGTCCGTGAGCTTGGCAATTCCTAAGAGTTTCTTTCACTAGATACTGCTGCTGCTGATGAAACAATTCACGCCTGGCGGCTTCCGACACCATGTTGATGAAGCGCCTTGGCCTGGCCCTAGCAAAGCTGAGCCAGACATCATTACTCCCCTCCCCTGGTACCTGTCGCTTGTCCATCCTCGTGTTGAGCCATTCTAGATCCTCTCTCATAGCTCCCACCCAACTCCCAGTGTCTTCCCACAGAGTGTCTAAAACCACTCTCAGGCCTGCCGGCCCCGTGGCGAGCACCCTCGTGAGATATCTCAGCCTGGCAACGCGGAGTACACTGCGGTGATTGAGCCTGCTGACAGCATGCACAACAGACGCGTGGGACTGGTGGTGGTCCTTGTTGCCACCGAGGGCCTCCCCCAGCGCTGCACGATAGGCCGAGGCTTGAGCAGCAGCTAACTTACCATGAGACTTGTTGGAAAGGGGCTCCCAAACACAACAATTGAACCAAAGTTTGCTTAAGGCAAAAGCATCCGTGTAACGAGGACGAGTGGCCAGCTTGAGGGCCTTCCTTTTGCCAAGAGCCACCTGGATGGGCCGAAGTTCAGCCCTCATCTGGGAAATTCTGTGGGCCACTTCAGGCCCAGCACCTCCACCCTCCACCAGGAGGGTTCCAAGCCCTTTGATTTGTCTAACAATCTTGACCTCAACCCCATGCTGGACAGAAGTCAGGGTGCCCCCTCCCCCCTGAAGTACCATAGCCTGCTTGGCTTTTCTAGCACCACGGCCAACAAGGGAAAGCATGATAAATGATTTGGTAGCGTTCAATTCAAGTCCGTACTTGGATACTCCCACGTAGACGATGTCCACTAGCATGGAGGCTCGTGAGATGGCCTGCTCTGCTTCCGCAATGGCCGCCACAGGTGTGAGATCGTCTACAAATGATACCGAGGACCCCGAACTCTCAAGGTCGTCATCGGTGGAGAAATGAAGCTCAGCGGGCGGCGGTGTCCATGCCAACCCATTCTGCTGCATCTGCTGATCTATATCTTTCACTATGGGAGCAAAGCCAACATTGAAAATGTCGGTGGCCAGAATGGTCCCAGGTCGGCTGCCTAAAGCAGGTTTTACATACGCCGTCGATCCACGCACCTTCCACCAGCCTCCAGCCTGAGTTTTTCGAACCAACTCCAAGAGGTGGGGGTCCGAAGTAGCTTTGTCGAGGATGGGGTCGCATTCTAGAGCTTTGGTGACATGGAACAGAGCTGGGGGAATAGGCACCTCCTCTAATGCAGCTCTGAGTTCGTCCTCTTCTCCAGGCAGGCTCAAGATGAATTGCTTAATGACCTTGTAAAAGGCCGCGCGCAAGTCAAGAAAAAAGGCAGCCGAGCAGAAGCCGCATCTTTTTTGTGCTCCTATCCTGCTCCTGACCCAATGAGCGGCAACATCCGTGCTCTTCCCCTTGAGGCCCCCACGCTGAGATTCGGCCAGACAAGTTTCCAAACACCCCCAGACCTGGGTCCGAAGAAACTGATGGTGGACCTTCGCAAGGGTGTTGCTGAGCAGGGTGCTTCTCTGAGCCAGCGCAAGTCGCTGGTCGCCTTTGCCTTTGTAAAAACTAACTACTTCTCCCTGCTTCATGATGCAGGGCTCACGTACGCAAATGGCAGCTTTCACCACAACAGGGTGATACACTCTCGCCATGCCCGCAGGGTCAGCAATATACAACTCATTGACAATCATGTCGGGGCCGGAAGCTTTTCCTCTTTTCAGCCTTGAGAACGCCCTCTGCAGTTCCTGACGTGGCATGACACAGTCCAGGTTGAGCCGAACATCTTCTCCCCCTATGGTTCCCCTGTCATTGTACTGCTTAAAAATCTGTTCCCTGGAGGCTGTGGTGGCCTTTGCGATGTCCCCAAAGTGTCGTTGCAGGTCATCTGCATCTTCCTGAGGCGTGATCAGAGGCCGTCCCTCAGGTGAGATGCGCTGCGGGAAAGAAAGCGTTTGTCGGTGACGCTTGCCGCCCTGCAATAAAAACTTCTTGGCGTACCGCCACTCGGCCTGAGAGATGCGGCCGTCGATACTAACGTTAATGAGATGAGCATTGTCCTCCAGCATCTGACTGTAGTCCCTGTCAAGCGCTCTGAGGAGTGTCTCCGACGACTCTCTGAGGAATCTGGCTAGGCCTAAGACCCACTCATCGGGGCACAGTTGTTTCCAAGAGAAAGCTTTAGCCATTTGGTAGAGCTGCGTCCAGCCGTGGCCGAGATCCTCCCAAAAGACACCCCCGAAGGCTCCTACTTCCCAGCCTTTGGAGTGAAGGGTTCCCTTCCTGAGATCCTGAGCAAGATAAAATAAACGGTTCACGTACCTATCGACCCCACCTTGATGCCTAACTTTGTGAAGGACCCTTTGTATGGCCCTTCTCACCCTAATTAGCCAAAAAGTATTGTCCTGAATGTAGGTTTTCCTGGGACGAACGGGATCTTTCTTAAACATTCTTTCGCCGCGTCCAAGACAGAGGCGTTCAGTTCAAGCAAATGATCATTCATATTCTTTTCCCAGGCTGGTAGCTCAAGGCTCGCTATCTGGGCTCTGAACTTGTCGCAAGCTGTCTCATCCTGGAGCTTGCGTGCGTCAAAAGCTGCCTCTTGCCTCGCAGCGCGCGCCGAGTCTCTGACCCAACAAAGGCGTGATACCACAGGGAAGTGATCATCTTGCTTCCGTATGAGATCCACCCCATGCAGAACTGCCACCTCACTCATGGCTTTGAAAAGTTGGTGGTCTGCTATGAGAAAATCAATTCTAAGCTTGCTTCCCGTTTTGTTAGCTATGAAAGTGTAATCCGCTTCCTCCCCAAGGAAGGTGTTGGCAGCAACAAGCTTGTGATCATTAAGCCACTCCTTCAACCTCGCACTGCCCGCAGAAGAGGAGCCAAACGTGCCCTTGGTTCCTGCCACCTCGCACCCTTCGTCTCCAACAAGGTGGCAGTTGCCATCCATAAAGCACAACTGCGGGGGCCACTTGTTGCACGCAGCGTCTAAATCCTCCCAAAAACTGAGCTTTTCTGCGGCCGAGTTAGTCGAATGAGGCACGTGGGCCACTAGAACATTGAGGTTTACCCCTGGAGCGTCTATTCTGCATGCTAGCAAACGCGGTGCAGCCCACAAAATTCGCACCTGCTGTGCACCGAAGGTTATCGGCTTTCCCTTGGACGTACCATAGGGGGATCCCACGTTGATCCATAGCTCGACGCCGAGCGCAAAGTCCTGGTGTCCTGCTGCAAAGCACACCCAATCTCCTGCCCTCCTGGTGCCCTTTTCATTCCTTCCCTCCTGAATTCAGATGATGTGTATGCCGCTCCTATACATCTGAGTGCGGAGCGCCGCAGCACGGCGTGCTCGATTTCTTCCCTTCGAGCCCCGCCGAAAGGCATGCCGCAGGCTATGCACGTTTAAAGTGGCAACACGCATGTCTACAGCAACCTGCAACTTGCTGGTCCTGATGTCGCTTGCGTGCGGCTCTCGAAAATCCCCTGCCTGGGCAACTGGCTTCAAGCCTGAGAGGCTCACGCACTCGTTGTCATGCACAACGCTGGGGTACGCATGAGAGTCCTCTCTCGCATCCAGGACCCATTCCCACAGGCGTGAGTTTTCAAGCCTAACGGCTTGGATGACTCTCCACGGTAGCTCGGGCGCCACAGGCAAAAGCTGTCTCGCTGTGGCTTTAGCTACATTGTCTGCTAAAACATTCCACGGATGTCCAGCATGGGCCTTGACATGGGCGAGCTCCAGTGAACACTGCTTGGAGGCCAAGTCCCAAACAACCTGCACAAGCTGAGCAATTTTCCTGTCTGAATTTGGCAAGCTTTGCCCAAGCGCTGCCCGAATCCTATTAAGCGAGTCGCTGTCCAGGGTGCAGGGATGCCCTGGGCGCTCAACTATGATTGCAAACAATGTCCATATCACCGCTGGACACTCCAACGTGGTGCTGGTGGCCGAGCTCGGCTCAAGGTTCATTGCGCTGCTGCTCGCAAGTTCTCCGCTTAAAACTCACCCGTACATGTACCCCCCATTCCTAACCACTATTTTTACCACTGCCCATCCCCCCATCCCCTCCCCTTGTTGGTAAAGCGAGCCGTCGGTAAAATAGTGGACGACGGAGATGTCGCCGATCCCGTCGTCGGGCGGAAAAACACGCAGGGCAACAGCAGCCTCCTCCTCTAACACCCCTGTGCTCTGCACGACTCCAAGCGTTAGTGCTTCAAATCTGATGCTGCTGCCTTGCAGTGCTTCTCTCAACGGTGTCTGCGCGGGCTGAATCATGCTAAACTGGCACTGGCTCGGGAAACTTCTGGCAATGGACCCGTGGGTCCTCACACTGTCTGCCGTGCTCATGTCCGAAGTCTGCGATGCAAATGTCGAAGGAGACCGTCGATGCCCCGATGTCTGCCCCCTAGCTTCGCCATTGTCTCCGCATTGCGCAGGAAAGCCCGCGCTCTGGTCAACAGGCTGCCTGGCATAGGTGTTGCAGGAAAAGGCTGGAGCTCCTAATGAGGTGTTATCCCCAGACTGTTGTCTAATTATTCGACAGGATCTAGTCAGAAAATCCTCGCCCCCCAAGATTGAAACCTGATGCGGCACATCCCTACCTATTTCAGTGTTGCATTCTAAGGGGGACACTTGTTCTAACTGTTTGGCCCAGCTCACCTGCTTACCCCTCAGGCGCCGCCTTTGCCCCCCCACCTTGGGGGCCTTGGTCGCAGGGCTGCGCGGCTGCGGCGAGTCCGTTGCTGCCGTTGCCCACGTCGTCCTTGCCGTCGCCCCCCTCGTAGCCGTCGACTTCGATGCCGTCGAGGCCGTCGCTGAGCTGCTCGCGGCCGTTGGTGCGCTGCTCGCTGCTCGCTGCTCTGCGCACGCGTGGTCTATCTTCTCCATCTCCTTGTGTACCTGGGAGCCCGTCATGTCGCCATCCTGCGACGTCGCCAGAACAGGCTCCTCCTTGGGCTCGATCTTCGTCACGCTCTCCTTCGGCGCCATTGCCGTCAAGTAAGTAAGGGTCTTCCTGAGTACCCCCTGCCCACGGCTCCGTCGGTGAAATTGGCCACGGCGCTTGTGGCATCTCGATCTCCTCCCTCTTGTGCTCCTCCCTCGGCGTGGCCACGGGCTCCGTCGGCGTGAGGAGCTTCTCCTTGTGTGCCGATCTCCACGCAGGCGGTGTGCCTTGCGCTGGTGCGAAGGACTGTGGTGAGGCTGGTGTCTTCGGCATTGCAATCGGCGTCGAACAGCCTCCCACTGGTGTTTTGCCTTCTGGTGTACGCGGCGCTGGTGAGTCCGCTGGAGGGGCCGCCGTCTCCCCAGCGGCCGTAGTAAACCCCGCTGCCTGCTGCTGCCTGTGGTGGTTCTGCTGCTGGCCCGAGGCAGTGTTGATCCACGGGACTAGGTTCGACATGGTCTCCTCTTGCCTCGCTTGCCTCTGGTCCATCATGCGCAGAAATTGTAGTACACCTGGTTCGTGCATCTGCGGGCCCATCTGGCACTGCTGCTGCGGCGGTGCTGTCTGGCCCTGCTGCTGACTCTTCATCTGTTGGTCCATCATCTGCTGCTTCTTGTCCATCATCTGCTGATCGGTCTGCTGGCAATTCGTCTGGTCCATCTGGCCCATCTGCTGGCCCATCTGACCATGCTGATGCTGCTGATGTTGCTGACCGATCACGTTCTGTTGTCCACCAGCCGCTCCAAACTGAGGTAGGTGTGTCTGAATGTAGGGCGGCTGTTGATGCGCAACATACTGGTTCATCTGCTGCTGCTGCTGCTGCTGCTGTGGATGCTGCGCTCCAGCAAATCCCCAAGCATACTGCGGCTGCGGCCCGTAGGGGCCAACACCTGCGACTGTTGCCTGGGGCTGGGCCGAGGACGCCATGTGCAGGTCGTCCATCGGCGGTTCGTCTGGCATCTGCTCCAACTCGTTCATGCAGCTCTGAAGCTGCTGGATCTCCAGCTCGATCTCCTTCTCCTGCTCGGAAAAGTCCTTGAGCCGCGATACCGTATTGTTGAGACGGTCCTTGGCTCGATCTAGTCTGCCTCTGACCTCGTCGCGCTGCTTCCTCACGGGCACTAGGGAGGCCAGGCAGGTCTTCATCACCATCAGCTCCATGTCGTGCTCGTTCGCCGTGTCCGTCTTGCCCGCCATGCGAGCGTAGATCGCCATGCTCGCGACGTTGAGCAGCTGGTCCTCCAGCTCCTGCTTCCACACTGGAATCTCCTGCTGCCTTGACGGTGTCGGACGAAAGGCTGAGTGATTCGTCACCGCACGATGTGGCATGGGCGGTAACTTCTGAATGTAGTTCCTGATGTGCTGCTGCTCTCGCTGTCGTTCTCTCACTGCGCTCTGGCTCCTCGCCCTTGCTCCTGCTCTGGGATTGTCGGTCCAGGCTTGGCCGCAAAGACAGTGACGATGCCAGTTGTTGACCATCTTCCCACATTTGCCACATTGCCACTTGTTGTTCATCTGCGTTCGATCTTGAACCTGGGCACTGTGATGCTGGGAAAGAAGCCGATATGATCGGTCTAGCGCCACAAGCAGCCGTGCTTGATGACGCTTGGCGCGCTCGCGCCGATGCCGAGCTGGCTCGGTGTCGCGCGAGAACAAGAGAGAAGAAATGACTGATATCGCGGTGCCTTGCTAGGCGCGCGCGTGGGGCTGGGCCTGCAGAGGAAAGTAAAAAGGATCGCAGGTTGCAGTATCGGTTCTGTCCTGCGGGTGGTTTAGGCCAAACCCTCCTCCTCCTCCTCCTCCTCCTCCTCCTCCTCCTCCTCCTCCTCCTCCTGAGGAAGATGTAGGGCCGGCGCGTGGCCGCGCTGTGCCCCTGCCGCCGCGCCTGGGCGGCGCGGCGCGACCTGCCCCCTCGGGCACGCGCGCGCCGCACGCCGCGCAAAAAAAAAAACGGGAATATTTGGACGCCCGAGATGGGCACGGAAAGAAGGGGTACAGTACCCAACAGCAAATGTTGTCCCACACCGACAGCGGCCGCTGTTGGGCAGGCGGCCTTCTGTCGCAAATGGCCACAGGTCGCGGCGGCGCGGACAGCGAGTCCTGTTCAGAGTGAACAGGAACTGCTGTTGGGCATCGTACCCATTCTTTCTGTGCCCATCTCGTTCGTGCAGGGAAACGCTCCAGACATGCGACGCCCCCAAGTTTCCGACAGTTTGCTGTTGTTGCTGTTGTTGAGTACTCACTTCTCAAGAATAATACTGTCGATCTCCGGAGCCGGTTCCCGACACCCTCGCCTCGACGCCGGCTACCTTTTCTCTGAAAACGAGGCTCCCGCTCGAGCGTTGGCTTGACCCCCCTACAAGTGGGCCCCTGGAGGCCCAGCTGCGACAACAACGGCTCCCGCCCGATACTTCCTCACAACTTACTTCGAGACACCCTGGCCAGAGAGGCCTCCGAACTCAGGAACGGCGCTCTCGCTCAGGACTTCCTCGCAATTCAATCAAGTTGGCGGGGGCCCAGCCACGACGACAAAGACTTCTGCTCGATACTTCCTCACGATTTACTCCGGGAGCTCCTGGCCAAGAAAGCCCCCGAACTCAGGAACGGCGCCCTCGCTCGAGACTTCGCACTTCAGTCAATGGCCGACAAGGAAGAGATTCCCCCCCGCAAGAGGGTGCAATCGAAGACGAAGTGGGTGGGTATCGAAGGTTGGGGTATACGGAATGCAAAACACGCGTGCCCGTGAGAGCAACAAGTCTTGGAATGATTGTTGTTGCTGTGTTGTTGTTGTTGTTGTTGTTGTTGTTGTTGTTGAGGTTGATGTTGTTGTTGTTGTTGCTGCTGAAACCTCACTTCTTAACAATAACTATTGTTGATCCCCCCTCGCTGGTGCATGCTGATTTTTCTCTATCAAAGTGTGTCCCTCGACGCTCGCACCCGGTTTGACAGGGACAGTCTTGGTGGTCAAAGTGTGCCCCTGGCCCCCCAGACTACAAAAAACAACGGCTCCCGCATGAGACTTCCTCCAAATTTACTCAGGACCCCCCCCTCCCGTCTGAGACTTCCTCCCAATTTACTCAGGAACGGCGCTCCCGCTTGAGACTTCCTCGCAATTTAATATAAGTCAAACTGCGTGGCTGCTCCCTTGGACTACAACAACAACGGCTCCCGCCTAAGACTTCTTCAAACTTTACTCAGGACCCCCGCTCCCGCCTGAGAATTCCTCCCAATTTACTCAGGATCGACGCTCCGCCTGTGACCTCCTCGCAATTTAGTCAAGACCCCCCTCCCGTCTGAGGCTTCCTCACAATTTACTCAAGAACGGCGCTCCCGCTTAAGATTCCCTTGCGCTTTAGTCTAGACCCCCGCTCCCGCCAGACATACCCTTTTCAGGAATTGCGCTCTCGCCTGTGATTTTTTCGCAGTTTATCAAACATCGCGCTCTCTACGCTCACGCACCACGCTCGCGCCAAGGACGCCGCCACACTTTACTTAGGAATCGCGCTCTCGTTCTACTCAGGCATCCCACTTGAATGTCCCACCCGCCCGACCCGCCCGTCAGAGGATCGCCCGCCCGTCGTGGTCTGCCGCCCGAAACTTCCTTGTGGAATGGCGCTTTCGCCTGGGACTTCTTCGAACGTTCGCACTCTTACCATCCTGCTCCTCCCTCCTCCCGGGCCGCCTCCCCCTCCTTCCGATTCCATCTCCTTCGCACGTCAGCTGATGTTGAGCTATCATTCCTGAAGAATGATTTCTGTTGGTCCCCCCCCACCGGTGCGCATTGTTTTTTCTCTGTCAAAATGCGCCCCTCGACGCTCGCATCCGGGCCAAAGTGTGCCTCTGTGCCCCCGCCTACAACAACAACGGCTCCCGCCTCAGACGCGCCCAGTGACGCCCCGCCACGCTGCCCACAGAGGCCCCTGCCGCAGCCCACAGAGGCCCCGAACGCGCCCACAGAGGTCACGCCCAGGGCTTCTCCAATTACACGTGGTCAGGAAGGAATACCCCCCCAAAGGGGGTACGATCGAAGGCGAAGGGGGTGGGTACCCAGGGTTTGGGATATGCATCGTGAATGACACGCGGGCCGGTGGGAGCGAACAGTCTTGTAATGATTGTTGCTGTTGTTGTTGTTGTTGAATATTATTACTTCTAAAGAATAATTATTGTTGGGCCCCCTGGTGCACGCCCCCCTCGCCGCGCCTAGGCCGCAGCCACATTTTCATCATTTTCGTGAGGAAGTCTCAGGCAAAACGGGGGAGTCTGGATCCGGTTGTTTTGTTGACGCCCGCTTTCCCTGTCAACAAACAATATAAAATGACATGTCTTGTTCTAACATAGCCAAACTTCAAGAATCCTTTGCAAAAAATGACACGAAGTGCACACTCGCGCGCGCAAGATGAAATCCTTCCAAAACCTTAGTTTTCGTAGCGATTTTAACATAAAAACATGAAAAACCCAATGGTTTTTCAAAAAAAAAGTTTCACAACTTCATCCCGCGCGCTCTTGCGGATTTCTTAGGAAACCCAATACTTTTTCAACATTTCTGTCAAACGGGCTCTTGCGAGCAACTTTTTCACGTGCTTCGAACTTCTGCAACAACGGTTGCGCGCCTGCCAGGGCCATCATCCCTGTCAAATAACACCATATGGGACACATTCGTTTTTTTCTTCGCGCGCGCACGCCGAAATCTTCAAACACCATTGGGTTTCTTAAGAATTTCAGCACCGCGTATCATAAAATCGCACGAATCGCACCGTAGGTCCTCGAAAAACACGTGCACGGATTTTCAAAATTTCTACCTGCGCGCGCTGTCCGAATCCTTAAAAACCAATGGTTTTTCAACATTTATGTTACATGAACTCGCGCGAGCTACTTTCGCAAGCTCTTTCAACGGCGTTCGCGCGCCTGCCAGGGGCCACAATCCGCCAGTGTAGTAGCCACGCGCCAGTGTAGTAGCCACGGTCGTCCGCAGGCCACGAAGTGAAGTGT